TTAGTCAGAATTGCCAGAGATTGTTGCTTACTTTATTAATCTTTTTTTTTGGTGATGAAGATTGGCCCTGAGCTAACATCTGTTGCCAATCTTCCTCTTTTTGCTTGAGGAAGATTGTCACTGAGCTAACACCTGTGCCAATATTCCTCTATTTTGTATGTGGGATGCTGCCACAGTGTGGCTTGATGAGCAGTGTGTAGGTCTGTGGCCAGGATCCAAACCTGGGAACCTTGGGCTGCCGAAGGGGAGCACATGAATTTAACCACTATGTCACTGGGCCAGCCCCTTCATCTTTTTTTTTTTCCCCCACTTGTGAGGAAGATCAGCCCTGTGCTAATATCTGCCAATCCTCCTCTTTTTTTGCTGAGGAAGACTGGCCCTGGGCTAACGTCGGTGCCCATCTTCCTCCACTTTATACGGGATGCCGCCACAGCATGGCTTGCCAAGCAGTGCGTCGGTGCACACCCGGGATCCGAACTGGCGAACCCCAGGCCGCTGCAGCAGAGCGCACGCACTTAACTGCTTGCACCACCAGGCCGGCCCCTTAATCTTTTTTTAAGATGGAAATAATTGCTGATGATGCGGATGTGTAGTGTAAAGCAATCTGAAATTCAAACAGGCGTAATTTGAAGAAAATTAAAAATTAATATCATTCTAAAGTTAAAATCCAAGGTGGGTCCCATCAATTTGGGGAGTGAGGATGAGTGGAGGTAGAAAGTAAATAATAATATGCTAAATGTCTTTATTTTTCAGGAAGGGCAAGTTAGAGATAATTTTTGAAATTGGTAAGAAAACATGCCAGTATGTTTGCTTAAAATTTAAAGAAGAACTTCTGGTAAAACAATAAGAACGCCGAATTTCCAGACCTGTAGAGAAAGGAAAGAAAGGAACATAGAAAATTGGATTGCTTGCAAATCAAAAAACAGAAGGTTACAGAAAGAACAGACAATAAAGCCTGATAAATAGCATAAAAGTAGATGACAGGTGGAAGTAAACATATAGAAAATAAAATTAGACTCATTAAATAAAACAAAAGATGATTTTTTAGCAATTTATCGATCAGACTAAAAAGTGCACCATTTTAGATATATCAACAAATAGAAATTAGAGAACATTTTAAACCAATAAAAGTGCATGATTAAATAAAGACATTCTCAATGATATAGTGAAATCTAATAAATTTTTCTTTGTTTTTTTTAATAATTAAGGACTGTGTCATCTATAGGAAAAAGGGAAGGGACTTCCCAGCGGGCTACATGCACGTAGTAATTCATAGCTGAGAACTTCAAAGAGACAACAGGCTCTAATACGCTAGTCATTAAACTGGGTGCCAAGCGCTCCTGGGAGTAGATGATGCCTTTCTAAGGGATACATAGGCTTTAAGAGAATCAGTATTCAGATCCTCAAATTCCATGTGTATCTCTGCTCCTAAAACTGGTCTTGTTGAAATCAAGATCAACTTCTCTTTCAAAATTTCCTTTCTTCCACATCACAAAAGAAAGGCCTATCTTTCCCTCATCCAAAATCCTACCACAGTGCATTGCTCCAAGATTTAAAAGCCTCTAAAATGGCCAAAAGAACAACTCAAAATATATGATAGCAATGAAGCCTCCTTCAACCAAGTACCATACACCCAAGCCATCAATCTAAGTAAGAAACGGCAGGTTTGGTCAACTTTTATTTCCTATGTTTAATAATTATTTATCAAATTTTATTTTTTGTTGTTGTTATTGTCTTTAATCAGTTGTGTACCACAAATCATAAAATCCAGAGAGGAATTCATTAGAAGAATTTAATTTCTCTCTCTCTTGCTCTGTCCATGTGTATACACACACACGCACTCGCACACACATTTTTTAAAGCATAATAACATTAGGATTCTTTGGGGAAAGAAAATTTAAAATACAATTTCAAGGAGAAAAAGGAACTATGTAAAATTTCTGAAGGTCAAAGAAGAGCTTGTTCATGCATTTTTTAAACGGATGACAGAGTATCAAATCACTATGATACTTATATTCCATTGGATGTAATTAAAAGAATGAATTAACTGTTCTATTTTTAAATGTCATATACAAATATGCCAGAAATTAAATTTTTGCAGCTATTTAAATGTCATATAGGGCCAGCCCAGTGATGTAGTGATTAAGCTCACATGCTCTGCTTTTGCAGCCCAGGGTTCACAGGTTGGAATCCTGGGTGCAGACCGATGCACTGCTCATCAAGCCATGCTGTGGTGGCTTCCCACATACAAAATAGAGGAAGATGGGCACAGATGTTAGGTCAGGGCCCATCTCCCTTACCAAAAAAAAAAAAAGAAAGAAAGAAAATAAAATAAATGTAACATAAAAATTTAATATACTTAATTTTAGGTCTCCACTAAAACAGTAAGGGAACATCATTTTTTAAATTCTTTAATTTTTTTAATTCTTTAAATTCTTTACTCTAATAAACATGAAGTTCAAGAACAATGTCATATTGAAACATATGCCAATAGATTCACACAAAGTTCAAATAGAATGGAATTTCCATCATAGCTATTTAGTCTATCTTAATGAGTTTGATATCAACACCTTCTCTCTGAACCATCTAAAAACAATAAACCCATATGCTAGACTTTGTCAGACATTATGTAATACATCATTAAATAATGGCTTTTACTTTCTGTGCACTCTAAGCATACCTGGATTAGTTACTGTTCACATTTCCTGGTTTTTGTTACTTAATTTCTGTTTTTCTCATTATGAAAATGCTTTCTAATGCTATTTCGATTCTCATTGTTTCCAAGGACTAATTCTCAAGTATGAGATAGCTGGCTGGGGGACAGATCTCTGGAATTCTTATTAATAAGGCTCAAGCCTTTCCACAACTTACAAGTTTTCTAGATTGATTTCTACAAATGCTTTATTAAAGATTGTTAACAATTCAAAGTAGATATGGGGAAAAAGATCCCCTACTCTAGTCACATACCTGTTTACCACTATATAACTACATGTTCTTATGTGAAATATATGTTCTCAGTAGGAAATTATAAAAACACTCAAGTTTATTCAGATTGATTAAATATCTAAATGATTCTCATTTAAATAGTACTATTTGATTGTAAATTGTAGATGGTGCACTACAAGATGATTATCCAATTTGTTATAATAACATTAAATTACTGATTTACTTATTAAGAGACTTTAAAAAACAATTACAAAGTAAAATATTCTTTCAATGCTTTTCTTGATAACTGTTACAGAAACATTATTGAAAATTGCTTCAAACTTGGTTCACTTAATCTATATTGTTTCTCACCTAAATTCACCATTTGAGTTGAATGTAAAATGGACTAAATTATGATAAGTAAAATGCAATAAAAAATGTAGAAAGAAATCAAAGTGAAAATGCATTGATGGATATGCTTACGAATGTTTTCCCTTCTTAAACTTGGCTTAGACACACAATTCGAGGATCAAATTTGATCTTTCCCTTTAAATTTCCCTTCATATTTCCAAAGGTAATACTAGGTTTCCTGGATCACCTCTATCAAAAAAATTAAGTATGGCCAAGAAAACAATATACTTTAATGGCTGATTTTTGATAAGGAAATTCACTGGGAATGTAATGTAAGAATATAATTTTTTTTCCAAATGGGGGAAGGAGTGTTAGAAACATAGTGGGAGTAAAGGAATCTTAAATCGTTGACTAAATTCACCCAGGCGTCTAATGTAGATTCTTCCTACCTTCCTCTACCATCCCATATTTTGAAAGCTGAAAATCTATATCACACACCAAGTTCGAATACTGAAAATCTATATTACAAATAATGGACCCACTGACCATAAAATTATTGGAATTGCAACTAGGTCCAAAACTGAGCAATAAATGGAAGTAGTGTCTGAGTAGCCAAAAACAAATTCTGAATTAAGACTTTAGAATAAAACATTTGAACTTTTATTAAAATAGGAATACTTTTAAAAATGAAAATGTATTCTGTATAGGAATAACCAGTTACATTTATCCATATTTAAGATACACATAAATGTATAATTAATGATATATTTTAAAATCCAAACCACTATTAGTAATCTACTACGAGCTAGGCAATTTATGTATATGAGCTTAAATTTCATAACCCTCTAAATTGTAACACGTTCTATATATTTGTAACTCCAAAATCAATACTTGCTGTGCTTTCATAGTCGTTTATAGACATGTGCAAAGTCTCCAAAGATTTGAGTTGCCCAGTTGAGGTCTCAGAAGAAGATGATCTGTCTTTTGATTTCAGCTCTCAAACTGTGAACAAGTGTCCTTTTTCCAGTCTATTTAGTGCCACGTTTTTTGCACCATAACTCATGCCTAAATGAAGCCTATATAATACATGTATTTTCTCCATAAGGCACATCACAGCCTTCTTGTGCTTAGGAACGCTAACACTAGGCTTAGGGGCCATTTTAAACAAAAATCACCAACAAAACAGCACAAAAACGAGGGGGAAAAAGGTACTAATAGACCACAAAAAGGATCAGAGCTAAAAGAAGAAGGCAGAGCATCGCCTTGTTCAACCTCAGCCCTAGAAGCAGTGGCGCAGTATTTGCTAATTCAGTGTTCACCGTTCACTTTAGAGAACACAACCACTGTGAATGAGAACCAACCACAATTTCAATAACTCTAGAATCTCTTAAGAGGCTGCAAAAAACATAAATGACAGAGAAAAGGTTAACACCTTTGCCTGATAGAAGCAGTATTATGAATAGTCAAGAGTTATTAGACTATTGGCTGTTAGATAAAAGCTACATTTCTTAGGTAACGCAATATATATTTCTTGTGAGACAACAGAAATACTTAAGTAGACGCTACTTAGTATTTCTTTATAAATCTGAATCAAATCAGTATGCTGCCAGTATTTTCAACTGCATCACAAAAATTAATTTAGGTAAGAAATAACTCATTAGAACAGGTCTAAAAAGTCAGAAATGTTTACCAAGTAACCATCCAAATAATTAGGTTTTCCTTACTTGTAGCCAAGCTGGCGACAGATCACAGCTGCATCCTTATCAGTCCACCCATCATCACAAATAGTTCCCCACTGGCCGTTGATAAAAACCTCCACTCGTCCTTCTTTCTTATTTTCTCCATCCATCAGTCTAATAGGAAAACCTAAGTCATGATTCAAAAGTATTAGAAAAGCCAAAATAAGCAAACTGATGTTAAAGCAAAAGCAGGAGAGACTTTATAAAACACAATTCATTTTTTAAATCAACCATAAAATCATCTGGGCAATACAAGAGAGAAAGAAAGAGAGGAGATATCAATAAAAAACTGTATCTACTTTTGCAGCATCTTGAAGCCTTGAAGCAGAGAGCTCACTTGCTCAACTCCGTCTTCCTAGCACTCGGAACAGTGCCTGGCACATAGAGGGCATGCAACAGCTGTTTGCTGAATGAATGAGCAAATAGCACTGTAAAATTGTGAATGGTTTTATTACCACTAACTTCTAAATAGTAAAAGATGTTTACTTAGACTCATTTTTGGCTCATATCTGTTCATTTATCCTTGAACATAGGCAGATATTTATACTCCAAAGCTTAGATTTTTAGGCAGACATAAACAGATATACGCTTGGCATGCATAGGTAACGTGAATGCCAGAGGAAAAAAAAGGAAGGGAGCTAACAAGGACAATTTCCATCGCAGGCTTCCTACTGACTATTGATTCCAAAGGAAGGATTCCAAAGGGCGGTCTTAAATCATAAAAATTACTAAGATTTAAAAGTTGAATGGGGAGGTCATGTACAGCATGGTGATTATAGTTAATAATACCATACTGCATATTTGAAAATTGTTAACAGAGTAGATCTTAAAAGTTCTCATCACAAGAAAAAAACAATGTAACGTGACACATATTAATTAGATTTATTGTGGTGATCATTTTACAATGCCAACAAATATAAAATCATTATGTTGTACACCTGAAACTAATATAATGTTATACATCAATTATATACCTCAATTTAAAAAAATGCTGAAGCTAGGAAATAAAACATAATAATAATTAAAAAATAAATAAATAAATAAAAGTCATTATATTTAAAAAAAGTTGAGAAACTGATCTCTAGCAAATTGAGGTTTATTTAAGTTATGCAAATGAAGTGATTTGTAGAGTTTCACATATCTCTATCAATAAATATGGTGGTGTTTAATTGAAAGCCTTCACTGTAGCTTGCATACTGTCATGGGTTGAATTGTGAGGTTGCTACGGTGGGCCCTAATGCAGTATGACTGGTGTCCTTATAAAAAGGGGAAATTTGGTTACAGAGATACACAGAGGGAAAATTATATGAAGAGACATATGGAGAAGATGGCCATCTACAAGCCAAGGAGAGAGGCCTAGAACAAATCCTTCCCTCACAACTCTCAGAAAGAACTAATCCTGCCAACACTTTGATTTTGGACTTCAGAACTGTGAGACAATAAATATCTGTTGTTTAAGTCACCCAGTCTGTGGTACTTGGTTACAGTGGCCCAAGCACACTAATATACATACTTTAGGTTACCTAGTTACTAGAAGGGTCTGCAGCTTCAGGGCCCCTAAGAGTTACTGGTAAGGATTTAGGGAATACAATGAAGCATGGTGAAATTTTGGAACTAGGGAGGTAGAGCAGGCAGCTGATGAACAAAATCCCAGTTTATATATATGTTTAAACCAACTGAAATTATTAGATTGACATTTGTTAACTGAAAGAAAATACTGTCGGCAAGACGGACACATCCTACTCTGATTCTTCTGATCCATTTTACTTCTCCATCCTTCTTTGTTACCCCCCAGAGTGTGGGCGCTCTAGTTTCTGTCCTGATCATACGCACTTCGTGGGACAGGCATCATCATAGAGTCAGCAGAGCAAAGTGAAAATCAACAAGTGTTTATGGAGTGTCTACTCTATGCACTGTTTACAATCAGGTAAAAAGTACTTGGGAGTTTAGCTATGTCACAAAACTCAGTGTAGTTGAAACTTTACATTTCTTATTAATGTATCTAAAATTGTGGGGTTCCTTGTAAAAGGAATAAGGTGAAAAGTGATCCTCAAAGAAAAAAAAATCCAAACAGATAAAAATCTTTCCTTAAAGTTTTCAATTTTTACATTTTTGGATCTTTGGTTCAAAATTAAGAAAACATATGCACATGGAATTAGATCTCCACATTGCATCTTACTTTTTTTATGGGCAGTTTTTCATATACCAGAAAAATTAAAATGAGGAAGTCTTTTTAAAGCCTAAGTTGCATGCTTTGTAAAATAACGTGTACAATATTTCTGAACCTAATTTTAGCCATTCATTTTATTTTATTTTTTTTGTTTATTGCAGTTTATAACATTGGTTTATAACATTGTATAAATTTCAGGTGTACATCACTATACTTCTATTTCTGCATAGATTACATCATGTTCACCACCCAAATACTAATTACAACCCATCACCACACACATGTGCTGAATTATCCCTTTCGCCCTCCTCCCTCCCCTCTTCCCCTCTGGTAACCACCAATCCAATCTCTGTCTCTATGTGTTTGTTTATTGTTGTTATTATCTACTACTTAATGAAGGAAATCATACGGTATTTGACCTTCTCCCTTTGACTTATTTCACTTTGCATAATACCCTCAATGTCCATCCATGTCGTCACAAATGGCTGGATTTCATCGTTTCTTATGGCTGAGTAGTATTCCATTGTGTATATATACCACATCTTCTTTATCCATTCGTCCCTTGATGGGCACTTAGGTTGCTTCCAAGTCTTGGCTATTGTGAATAATGCTGCAATGAACACAGGGGTGCATGTATCTTTACGCATTGGTGTTTTCAAGTTCTTTGGATAAATATCCAACAGTGGAATAGCTGGATCATATGGTAGTTCTATCCTTGATTTTTTGAGGAATCTCCATACTGTTTTCCTTAGTGGCTGCACCAGTTTGCACTCCCACCAGCAGTGTATGAGAGTTCCCTTCTCTCCACATCCTCTCCAACACTTGTTGTTTCCTGTCTTGTTAATTATAGCCATTCTGACGGGCGTGAGGTGATATCTCATTGTAGTTTTGATTTGCATTTCCCTGATAGTTAATGATTTTGAACATCTTTTCACATGTCTATTGGCCATCTGTATATCTTCTTTGGAGAAATGTCTGTTCAGATCTTTTGCCCATTTTTTAATTGGGTTGTTAGTTTTTTTGTTGTTGAGATGCATGAGTTCTTGATATATTTTGGAGATTAACCTCTTATCAGATGTATGGTTTGCAAATATCTTCTCCCAATTGTTAGGTTGTCTTTTCATTTTGTTGATGGTTTCCTTTGCTGTGCAGAAGCTTTTTAGTTTGATGTAGTCCCATTTGTTTATTTTTTCTATTGTTTCTCTTGCCCAGTCAGACATGGTGCTTGAAAATATGTTGCTAAGACCGATGTTGAAGAATGTACTGCCTATGTTTTCTTCTAGAAGTTTCATAGTTTCAGGTCTTACATTCAAGTCTTGAATCCATTTGGAGTTAATTTTTGTGTATGGTGTAAGGTAAGGGTCTACTTTCATTTTTTTGCATGTGGCTATCCAGTTTTCCCAACACCATTTATTGAAGAGACTTTCTTTTCTCCATTGTATGTTCTTGGCTCCTTTGTCAAAGATTAGCTGTCCATAGATGTGTGGGTTTATTTCTGGGCTTTCGATTCTATTCCATTGATCTGTGTGTCTGTTTTTGTGCCAGTACCATGCTGTTTTGGTTACTATAGCTTTGTAGTATATTTTGAAATCAGGGAGTGTGATACCTCCAGCTTTGTTCTTTTTTCTCAGGATTCCTTTACCTGTTGGGGGTCTTTTTTTTTTTTTTTTTTTTTTATTTATTTATCTTTACCCCAAAGCCCCAGTAGATAGTTGTATGTCATAGCTGCACTTCCCTCTAGTTGTTGCATGTGGGACGAGGCCTCAGCATGGCCAGAGAAGCGGCGCGTCAGTGTGCGCCCGGGATCCGAACCCGGGCTGCCAGCAGCGGAGCACGTGCACTTAACCACTAAGCCACGGGGCCAGCCCTGTTGGGGGTCTTTTGTTGTTCCATATAAATTTTAGGTTTGTTTGTTCTATTTCTGTGAAAAATGTTGTTGGAACTTTGATAGGGATTGCATTGAATCTATAGATGGCTTTAGGACGTATGGACATCTTAACTATGTTAATTCTTCCAATCCAAGAGCACGGAATATCTTTCCATTTCTTTGTGTCTTCAATTTCTTTCAGCAATGTTTTGTAGTTTTCAGTGTACAGATCTTTCACCTCTGGTTAAATTTATTCCTAGGTATTTTATTCTTTTTGTTGCAATTGTAAATGGGATTGTATTCTTAATTTCTCTTTCTGCTACTTCGTTGTTAGTGTATAGAAATGCAACTGATTTTTGTATGTTGATTTTGTATCCTGCAACTTTCCCGTATTCGTTTATTACTTCTAAAAGTTTTCTGGTGGATTCTTTATAGCAATTCATTTTAAAAAATAGTTGGATTTTCAATGCTTGAAGGGAAATTGGATGACAAAAGCCATTCTATCATACCACCTCACTATTTAAGTTCTTTTTGTTATGGCAGTAATAATATAAATGTTTTATATCTAAAATCTTAAATATATACAAAATGCCTGGAAAACTAAACAGTCCTGTGGGTATACAGTATCTTGAATTATATATCTCAAACTTTAATTTCCAGTTGATTTTAATTTTCCTGAAAATTGATTTAATACATTATTTTTAGAAAATATTATTTTTCCTAGAAGAAAGATAATACCTGGCATAAATATAAATGAAAAGTCAAAATTTATACTGTAAAATTGAGTAAGAGAAATCTCACTGTGAAAGAAATTTCTGCCAGGATTTAATACTCTGAATTTTAGAATCAAAGAAATATAAATAATTTTAGAATTAATGCAACATAAAAATGACAAATCCACATATTTACCATCCCACAAATTTCCTCCAATTCACATAGGGATTAACTACATTCTTAGGAGAATTACTTCTATTGACCTAGAATATTGTCTTTGAGCAATCCATCCACCACAGACCGAAATATAGAAAGTGTCTATTGGGGGCTGGCCCCGTGGCTTAGCAGTTAAGTGCTCGCGCTCTGCTACTGGCGGCCCGGGTTCGGATCCCAGGCGCGCACTGACACACCGCTTCTCTGGCCATGCTGAGACCGCGTCCCACATACAGCAACTAGAAGGATGTGCAACTATGACATACAGCTATCTACTAGTGCTTTGGGGGAAAAAAAAGAGGAGGAGGATTGGCAATAGATGTTAGCTCAGAGCCGGTCTTCCTCAGCACAAAGAGGAGGGTTAGCATGGATGTTAGCTCAGGGCTGAGCTTCCTCACAAAAAAATCAAATAAAAAATAAATAAATAAATAAATGAAAGTGTCTATTGAACTACTACTAATTTTGAGAACAGTTTCATTCACATTTAAAGTTAAGGTCCTCAAGTTACTTTTCAAATAGTTGAAAACAGTAATAGTCCAACAGCTCATTATCATGGTGCCAAAGAAGTAAAAACATTTTAATTGTTTCTTAAATGCTGTTGTTTATATCAGTATTCCATGATCTTCTTCTCTAAGCTTCTCTTTTAAATATGCAGTCTTTTTGATAAGTAGGAAAGTCATGATCGCTTTGGATGAATAAATGGTAATATGATTCTATTCCAAAAAGATATTTGGCTCCAACATAATGTTCTTTGGACAAATGAATAGTTAATAGGCATACTACCAAAATTAGGACCTTAGAGATTCATAATAATGATCACATATTTTATTAATAATTATCACCGTCAGCTTTTTAAATTTTTAAAAAATATAAGTAGAATCCTAGAATTAAAAAGATTTTCAGGAGAACTGAAAAGACTGGTTGCCCTAACCATATGGATATATTTAACCACAAGGCCTTCAGAGAACTCAGATTATAATATTTTGTATGGTATTTATAGTATTTCGTCACCTGGAGTACTGGTGGAGGGTGCCTGAATAGATCGCTCCGTGATCCAAAGACCTGCTATCTGGGGCTGAAATGATCCATTTGTAGCAAACAGGTTCTATCTCCCCCAACCACATGCAATCATTCATCACATAATTATCCCAGGAGGATCGTAAATCCTCCATAAGGAGAAGGGAGCAAAGGAGGAGAACAAATGAAAAGAAACAAAATTAGAAATACGACCTATAAGGGATGGAGTAAATGTTGTATTTTTTCTACTTGGTATAATGCTAGAATAGTGCAGCGAGTCACTAAGATCTCACGGAGTACAATGAGGGATCAACCATATACTTTGACAAACTACGTGGTTAATACTGTGGGATTCAACAAGTTCTATTATTTTATAACATGAAGATTTAAGTTTCACAGTCTCAAAACAGGAAGAAACGAAAGGGGTTGATTCAAACCTGAGGTGAAAAGGGTCACTTGTGGTTATTTTAACATCTATTCACCAAAAAATATATGCATAGATATATAACAGAGCTGTGGTAGTGTCCTGCCAAGTCTTTTTGAATATCTCCCTCTATATTTTTCATTCATATTTATTCTGCCCCCCTCGTCAGACGCTGAGTCTGTCAAGGATATGTAGCTGCCTTCTGCCCATAAGAGGATCTTTATCCATAAATATTTCAAGACTGTTAGATGAGTTAGTTACCTCTTATCCACTACAAGTCTGAAGAAATGTGGACTTGAGGAGCAGTTAAAATCCTTAACGGGTTTCTAGAGTAACAGGGTATGGGAAAGAGCAATAGATGGCTAGTGACCAGTGACTGACAAGATCTTACAGCTAAAGAATAAATGAATCATGGGAGATATGGGAGGGAGCTATTGTTTTGTTCTGTTTTTGCTTTTTTTTAAAAATCCCATCTCAATAGTTCATCAGAATTCAAGGTAAATGAGACTTAGTATAGGTGAGTAGGGGAATGACTAATGAGTAGGGGAATGGACATGGAAGCCTCTTTACTCGTTCTTTCAGATACACAGGATTATAAACATTTTTAGTGAGGAACTTAGGCTTCTAGGTAAAGAAAAATAACTTTAGAAGGAGAAATTTTACAACATTAGTGGAAAGACTTAAAAGATTATTTTTATCTGAATGCAAATTACTGAAAATTAGAGCATTATGGGAAACAGACCCAAAAAAAGCCAACGATAAGAAATGCTTTACATTCTGGACCAGTGAATAGAGGTGCAGTGGCTACTGACTTATGGGTACTTGAGAGCTGTGGCCAGTCCTCACCCAGAGAGAGTCTGTGTCCATCGCCGCTGGGGTGGCAGGCAATGCCGACATCTTCTCGATGGCTGCAGTCGTGCCTTCCCCACAGTCTCCGGGAACACTGAAGGACACTGGTCTCCTTTCCTGAGCAGCTGACATCATCCAACCATATGGGCCCTGTGCTTTCTTCAAAGTGGTTTGCAGAGGCTTGTTTGCCATATCTGTGGCAATAAAATAAACACTGTGCATTGAACTGCTGTTCCTTGTTTCAAGGAACCACAAAACATAAAATAAACAACCTAATTAAGTGTCATGACTTCAGAGGATAAGCATTTGTTCTTTCTCCTATTTTGAAGACTCGGTTCTAAGAGCAGTGTTTGCTCCATCACACATTTTGATCATCTTAACAGTTTTCAGTTGATTCAATGGATAATCCTTTTTCCCCCATGCATTCTTGTCTACATTTTGCCTACAATTTAACTCACCAACCAGAGAGAATGCAGACAAAAAGATAAACCTCAAATTCCTGACCATGAGAAATAACACTGTGAACCAGAAAGTGAGAACACTGGTCCTGTATCGGCCTCTGATGAGCCACCGAGCTCGTCTGATTTCACCAGCTTCTCTAGGCCTCTTGGGAACCTCTCCATCAAAATAAAAAGTGTGAATTAGTTCAGTGAGTCCTCAAGCACCATACCCAATCTATGATGAAACTTAGATTTCTGCCCACCAAAATCAGAATAATGACAATGTTCTTAGCATTTCATAATGCTAAATTTGATTTAAAAAATTTTTATAAAGTATATTTGTATTCCAATTGACTTTATTTGTTACACCACACTACCAAAAAACCTAAATATATTATAGGAAATACATATGCTGTATAAACAGGAAAGATCTGCAAAATAAGAAATTAGTAACTAGTCAGCCTGCACCTTCATTCATCCTCCCCCCAAGTTTGTTTTCTTTTGTTGTGTAAAATGCAAACCTCCAGAAATCACTGAGCTGAAAGATCTTTAAGGTGTCTCTCAGTTCTAAGAGTCTATGTAATTAAACTCTTACTCATGAATTTTATGTCAATAGCTTCCCTCACCGGATGTTTTTATTATTTCTGTACTAAGAATATGAAGAGATCTTTCTGTCTGGCATGAATTTTCCTATGTACTTATTTATTAAATTTACTTAACAAGATGAACATTTTAATAAATTAAAACAATACAACTTTTAATTAATCCTTCTAAGACTTCTGCTATTTTGCTGACTAATCAAGTCTTCAGTTAGAGAAGTAATTAACCTAAATCCCATATTGCTATTACTTTCAACTTATACCATTTTTCCACAAAATGCATCAATCTGATTACCATCTGTCCATATCAACTACAGAACAGATAACAAGAGGTCATTTTACTTTGGGATTTCATTCATACAAAGAAACCCAGAGTTCACCCTGTTTCTCATTCCAAAAGATTATTCTCTTTCAGAAATTCCCCTGTAAACTAAAAAGTAAATGTAGCACATGCCTATTCTCCCACCTAACACAATTATTTAGAACTTGTAACAAATATTATTGAGAACATTTTTAGAACCATTAAGTTCTGACGCTCTGTATATGCAAGAAAAACTGAATGTATTTGTGAAACAAAAGAAATAAAACATGGAGAAAAAATCATTGTCACTCAATTGTTTTCATTAATAAGGGAAAATATAAGAATAGTAAATAATAGTATTTCTGAGTCTTTCTAAATCTGTGAAAATAGGATACAGTTCTCAGTCTAACAGAGATTCACTTAAAGATGAAATAGCATTTATTAAGTAATTCTTATTAATTAAACATCAATATTTATTTGGCTGGTATGTCATACCCTTTGGCCTGATAATTATAATGTCACTGCCCAAGAAAATTCAAAATATTGGGCACTTTATATCTTCATGATATCGTTATTTATAACAAGAAAAATTAAACTAACCTAAATATTAAGTAAACTATGGTATAAACATAACAATGGATATTATGTTATCATTAAAAATTATGACAGTTGTAATATAAAGATAAAAAAATGTGGATACAAAAATTATATATCTAATACCAGACCTATTATAAAATTATACACACAAATTATAATAATGATGGTATAAAAATGGAAAAATTATGGGTAATTTTTTATTTTCTTTCTTTTCCAAAATTTCTCTAATATTTTATATTACTTTTAAAAATTTAAAAATATATGTTAAACATGGCCACACCTAGCTTGAATAAAAGTATATTTTAAAGGTTTAATGAATATTAGTAATTAGCTCTAACTCAAGCTGCAATAAAGTAATTTTGCCAATTTTTTCAAGCATGAGAAAATTACTTCAAGTATGACATAGAAATGAGGAAAACAAGAAAGAATAGGCATTAATGGGCTTCATTCAAATATTAGCTCAAAGGGATCATTTGCAGTTACTTCAACCAACTTAAGTCTTTACTCTGGAATGCATTATGTGTGTGACATGAAATACATCGCCCTAAGTGTGATACTCAGCCTTGCAGAGAGTGAGGTCAAGGGTGAGTTCTAAGGGCCATCTCATGACAAGAAGTCTGTTTTTCTCAAATAAAAGTGATAATTATCACCACATTCTGAGAAAGGGAATAATGTAATACCAAAGCATTTGACACTGGACTTCTCTGCAATTTTAGACACAATGTCGTCAGAACTAACAACATCCAATAGTAGTGATGCGTCAGAATAAAACCAAGCATTCAGAGCATACAGTCTTACTTGAATAGATACAAAGGGACCCAAAAGTCGCCCATGGCTCCAACCAATTATTTAAGAAGAGGGGTGGTGGCAGGAAAGGTAAATGAGATAAATGGCAAGATATGCTCAAAGAAAATATTATTTTTATTGTTGTACTTCCACATATAGATAGATAGGTAGGTGGGTAGATAAGACTGGTAGATAGATGATAGAGAAAATGTATTTTTAGTATTATAGAAATTACAAGTAAGGATTACAAAATGAAACTTTTAAAAATATAATTTGGCATGTAGCTGCCTCATATCAATGGACCTTACTTAAATCCCAGCTGCCGGCAAACAACATAGGTATTCAGTTCAGTCCAGCCGTCATCACAGACCGTTCCCCACCGTCCCCTGTAATACACCTCCAGGCGACCCTCATGGCTGCCTTTACCACCTGCAAGTCTGATGACCCCATCTGTGATAAGAAGGAGACACAGGAGACTAAGCAAATCAATTATCAAAAAAAAAGTTAGAACAACATTTAATCTCACTAGCAATATCACTCTATTCAGGTCTAGGCATTTTGTTAAACTTATTTTAGGACAGTGCTCAATGACCTAAGGTCATTAGACTGTTTCTGAAGTATGACAGAACACATATCTGTCCTAACAAAATATTCTTTCTTTTTTTATTTGTACTCCTGGTTTGTGAGAAGAAAAATATATTCTGATATAATTCCAAAGTAGCTATTTAGATTTATCTGAATTAAATAATATTTGGGAAATTTCCTATAGCTTCAATCTTCTTAAGTCTGAGCAATACTAGTCATTTAAATTTAAAGAGTAAGAAAACATACTAACTTGGAAATAGTTCAAAATTTTAACTGCAAGTGAAAAAATATTGAAATACGAAGACAGAAAAAGCTATTCTGGTTAAAGAGAGATCTATCATGTCAATGCATTTACTATTCCTTAGGCTTCATAAATTTAAAAAACTGGGGTACCTGTCTCACCTTTGTTCTTTTTACTGATAATACAGATCTGAATTTGAATCTAATGAATTCAATGAATAATCAGCTCTCAGAGAATCCTGTAAACAGCTTCTAAGCAGACACACAATATGATAAATTTATCCCCCAAAAAGTAGACGTAAAAGCTGTTTCTATCCAAAATAATCCAAACGTCCCCCAAATGAAATACTTAAATAATCTTGGGTAAAGGTCATACTTTTCACGAATCTCTGGGATCTTTTAAAATAAATGAGGGTTAGGGCCGGCCCCGTGGCTTAGCGGTTAAGTGCCCAAGCTCTGCTACTGGTGGCTCGGGTTCGGATCCTGGGCGTGCACCGATGCACCGCTTGTCCGGCCATGCTGAGGCGGCGTCCCACATACAGCAACTAGAAGGATGTGCAACTATGACATACAACTATCTACTGGGGCTTTGGGGAAAAAAGGAGGAGGATTGGCAATAGATGTTAGCTCAGAGCCGGTCTTCCTCAGCAAAAAGAGGAGGATTAGCATGGATGTTAGCTCAGGGCTGATCTTCCTCACAAAAAATAAATAAATAAATAAATAAATGAGGGTCTCCTAGCAACAGAATCACTTATTAATGTAGTACTTTACTGTCTGTAAAGCACTGTTACACATATCACCTCCTTAGACCATCACAGCAACACGACAAGACGGTCCTTATTTGAAAGAGGAGGAAATGGGGACTCAAAAAGATGAAGTGCTCTGGCTTAAAATCTAGTGTAAAGTTTATAGTTTTTCTATTGTGTATAAATGGGTTATTCTGCTAATAAAAACAACAGCATGTATAGAAGTATGTAAATAAAAATGTGTAACTTCAGCATTTCATAGGCTGTAAGTTTTTCTTTTGACAAAAACCCCCAATTTTTTTCAATTTCTTTTTACTATAGAAACAATGGACTTGTCATGACCAACTTCTCTGGCCTGTCCATTTCCCTTTTCGTCCTCCAAAATGTGTAAGTACATACACACACACACACACACACTCATTTGCACTCAGACATGCCCTTCTTACAACACGTGACATGCCCTGACAAGCATGCTGCGATTTGGAATAGTCTGAAAATTGAGCATAGCAAAGTTAACTTGGTTTGTTTAATAGTGTGCTTTAATCAACAATCCCATCAACACAGTTTACCAGCTATAAACACATTCTGAGAGTCAAGACAGGTTAATAGACAAATGGACTAAATATATAATTATAATACCTAATATCTAAAATGTATCATTGCATACTGATTTTGATTATTGGGTACTATATATTGCAACAAAGTCATATTTTCTAATCTAGTTTACAGGACTGTACAGCCTTAAATTAAAAAATTCAGAAATATCTATGAAGAAAAGAATAACATTTTAATATATAATTTTTGTTAATTTTTTTTTTTTTAGTTTAGGAAGATTTAGTTTAGTTTAGTTTAGGGGGATTTATTTGTGTGCTCATTTAGTAATATTATGTAAATTTAAGAGAAGAAAAGGTAAGCCCAAATGTGGCTGGGGGCAAGAGTTGGTAGATTACTGAGGGAAATTCTTACCTGTTAGAGGGGTGCAGGACACTCCAGCATCTTCTTTATGGCCACAGTTATGCTCGCCCCAGGAACTCTTTGGACACTGCTCAATAGAAAGCTCGTTCCCAGTGCAGCGTACTTCATCCAACATTACTGGGCCAGATCCTTCCCCAAAATATGCCTGATTCCATGCTTTGGCAATGCCACTGATCAAACAAGGACATCAGAATTCTGGATTAGACAACAACAAAGGTTGGTCTGACTGATTTCTTTTGCCCCTGGCAAAGTATAATTATGATTAATCCATATTTTCCCTTATCAATTCACTCCATAGGTCACACATGACTTGCTGCATTTCTTGTTTGTTTGTTTGTTGCTCTTTATGATTTTGGCCATCACAAATGTTTCTGGCCATCACAAATGTTTCAAAGACTGCTAGTTATTGCCAATATTTACCTCCTTTTCTTCATTAGTAATGGAACTTCAGATTTTTGGGAGGGCAGTAGCTGTCCAGAATAAAAACCACATTTCCCAGCCTCTCCTTCTAGATGACTACATCTGTTTGTTGTAAAATACACATAACAAAAAATATACCATTTTAACCATTATCAAGTGTACAGTTCACTGGCATTAAGTACATTCACATTGTTGCACAACTATCATCACCATCCCTCTCCAGAACTTTTTCATCATCCCAAACTGAAACTGCACCCATTTTAGCTGACTAAGTTTTGATTAATGAAATGTAGGTAGAAGTGTCATGTGTCACTTCCAGGAATTCTCCTTGTTCCACTTCCTCCTTCCTGATGACTACAAGGCAGAAGTGATGGCCGGAGCTTGAGAAGCTATCTTGGGCCATAAGGTGCCATATTAAGAATAACAGAACTGCAAGCAAGCAAGAGCCAGGGACCGTGATGATTGTAGAGCCACCAGACTAGCCTTGAGCTGGCAACCTCTGATCTTTTGGGTGAAAAATAAACTCTTGTCTTGTTTAAGCCACTGTTATTTCCAGTTCTCTGTGACTCACAGCCAAACATATTTCTAACTAAAACATCTCTTTTCTCAAATTTAATTTGCACTAAATTTACTTCTCCTACAATTCAAAGTAATACCACATTCTGGAACCCCAGATTTCAGTGAAGAAGATCATGATTGGCTGTCAAAATGATTAATGACTTCAGAAACTGCATTTTTAGCCCCTTTTAGCCTTTTAATTTTTAAGTTAGAGCATTTATAGTCTTCTTTTGTTTTTCAGTAATACTACATCTATTCCCCATTATTTTAGTTGCCCCTTTCTCATAACATTGTAACTATCCTGAGAATTTACAATCAAAATATATTGAAGAAAAAAAAGTTTGCTAACTGATTATAATACCCCAGTAATAGTAAAGTCTTGGATAGTCAACTTTGTGGTTAAAGAGGAGCTTGTTTGACTAATTTTACTAGATAGTATGAAAGTTTCTTTTTAAGAGAACACGTCTAAAAAACAAAACATCAGAAAATTAAACACTTTAAATACTACTAAGGCAAATACTTGTTCCATTATCATCTGACTCACTTTCTTTTTTTTTTTTTTTTAAAGATTTTATTTATTTTATTTTTCCCCCCAAAGCCCCAGCAGATAGTTGTATGTCATAGCTGCACATCCTTCTAGTTGCGGCATGTGGGACTCGGCCTCAGGATGGACGGAGAAGTGGTGCCTCGATGCACACCCGGGATCCGAACCCGGGCCGCCAGCATTGCAGCGCGCGCACTTAACCACCAAGCCACAGGGCCGGCCCCTGACTCACTTTCTGTTTAAAATTCAGAGAGCGTGCCAAGGGGAAGGATACAGGCATGTTTACAGGAGGATGTGTGAAGGAAGCCGAGAGGAAAAGAAAAATAGGTTGCTTACGCAGGATATTTTGGTGGAGTTAAAATTTTAAAATTTAGAATCCAGACACTTGAATCACTATCTGATATCTGTCATACAGTGGACTCTGAGAAGTCTGCCCCAACAAATATTAAAGACTAATATCTAGGGCTGGCCCCGTGGCTTAGCAGTTAAGTACGTGCGCTCCGCTACTGGCAGCCTGGGTTCAGATCCTGGGCGCGCACCGACGCACAGCTTCTCCGGCCATGCTGAGGCCGCGTCCCACATACAGCAACTAGAAGGATGTGCAACTATGACATACAGCTATCTACTGGGGCTTTGGAGAAAAAAAAAAAAGGAGGAGGATTGGCAATAGATGTTAGCTCAGAGCCGGTCTTCCTCAGCAAAAAAAAAAAAAAAAACAGACTAATATTTAGAGCTAATTAGACAAATGTGAAAGAAAGAAAAAGAAGTCCTAACACAAAGGATATTGCCAAAACGACATAATTTTGTGAGTGAATTTGCTTGTTTTGCTAAGAGAAAACATAACAACAGAACAGAAAGCCATTTCTACTCTTCTGGAAAGAAGGAATAAATGCTCAATTAATAGGATTTTTTTTTTAAATAAAGTTTTCAGTTGTTTCAGTGTGTGTCTATATGCCTACATAAGAGTATAAGAGATATATATAAATGTTCATATATTATGGACGATGTCAAAAGGCTTATTCTTTCCAAGCTAAATCTTTGAAGAGGAAAAGCAGATGTGGGAACAGGCCCTCAGCTTCAAATCTTAACTCCATCTTTAACACGCTGGGCTACTTTGGGGAAATTACTAAAACCTTCTGGGCCTAAGATGCTTCTTTTGAACAAAGGGATGATAATCACTCCCTTGCAGGGCTGTAAGAATTAAACTGTAGTTCCCTTTCCCTCCTCTGGCACTGTTAAGAAGCTTCCTCCTAACAGTTGATGAATAACATATTTTTCACTGCTAAGCAATTTATCTAAAAACTACTTGGTATTTAGTTTAAACATCATAGTTTTTGTTTACCCTATTCTCCAAATCATATAGTTGGGCGAGTGATGAGGAAGAATCAATTAAAATCTCAAGATTTTTTGTTTTTAATGTTGTAAATATGTTTTATTTATTTTAAAGAAATTTTTTAAAGAATATATTTATGGAAGTAATTTGTAGCCTACAAGACACCAGCCAAGTCTATGTGTTGTTTTTTATTAAGGATTGTAAGATGATGGCCCAAAAGATCATTAAGCTATGACTTTTATCACTAAACTCAGGATTCTTGAGGCAGAGCAATAGACAATCAGAGGCAAACAATTTCAAGTGTTTTAATGCACATGAGGTAGTTTACAAACAACAACAAAAAAATTGTAGTGGCCGAAACCAAACCTTTTTTCCAAAGACAGCACTTATGCTCCCAGAAAAATATTTTTTATACCCAAATGATCTTGCAATAGTAGTCTATAAGGCTGTGAAACAAGTAAAATGTTTTAAAAATTACTCATAGTGGAAGACATATCCCCTTCCAAAATCAAATATTTTCATACAAGATTTACACTAAATTGAACAAGGGAACAGTGTAACACCCACTGAAAATAAAACTCTAAAGTCATTTATTGATTGTGCGTTATTCCCAGAAATGGAGGGCTTGAATAACTGAAATAAGTTGTTTTAAATACACGAATATATATACTAATATTGGTCTAAAGAAGAAGGAACTGCTTGGAGCTGTGTGCCCGAGACCTGTGGCTCCTTTTTGAAAAGAGAGAATCCAGGACGGGAGCAAAGAAGCCCGAGCTGGTGGCTCCAGAGCAGAGGTCAGTAAACCACAACCTGAGGGCCAAATTTGGTACATTAGCTGTTTTTATATGGCCCATAGCTAAGAGTGGTTTTCACATTTTATAAATAGCTGGGAAAAAACTAAAACAAGAATATAATTTTTGACATGCGAAAATCATATGAAATTTAAATTTCACTGTCCAGAAGTAAGGTTTTATTGGAACAAAGCCACACTCATTCCCAATTTATTGTCTACGGCTAATTTTGTACTACAAAGGCATAGTTGAGTAGATGCAAAGTTTAAAATACTTCGTATCTGGCCCTTTACAGAAAAAGTTTGCTGATCCTTGCTCTAGAGGAAAGAGATGAATGAAAGCAAATAGGGAAACTGATTTAGAGAACACTGAAAGCTGGAGAACAGAGGAGGAGGAGGCAAGATGACTGATACAGGTCATGGGGAAGCCAGATAGGAAAGCTTTGCAGAAAGGCAGATTAACAGCCTCCTTGAATCTATGCCCTGGGATAAATGCTAGGAAAGAAAAAGATCTATTAAAGAAAATTTCAATGGGCACAATTTATTGAGCCAGAATTGGGCGCTATAAGAAAATCAGGGACCAATATCAGAGAATATAAAATGTTATCCCAAACTCATAACAGAAACAAAAAATAAATTCTAGGGGCTGGCCTGGTGGTGTAGTGGTTAAGTTTGTGCGCTCCACTTTGGCAGCCAGGGTTCATGGGTTTGGATCCCAGGCATGGACCTACACACCACTCATCAAGCTATACTGTGGCGGCATCCCACATACAAAAAATAGAGGACGATTGGCACAGATGTCAACTCAGGGCCAATCTCCCTCACCAAAACAACAACAACAACAACAAAAATAAATAAATAAATTCTAGGTGGTTTAAAGACCCCAATATGGAAAGACAGAAAGAAAGAAAAGAAGGAGGGAGGGAGGAAGTGGGGGAGGGAAGAAATTTACTAGAATAAAATAATAAGAACATAGTTCTTATAACCTTGGGAGAAAGGGGATTTCCTGAGCAAAATAAGAAACCCAGAAGTCAGAAAGCAAAGACTAAAAAAGTTAAATTTAACCACACATAAATTTAAACTATTATATAACAAAATACACCATAATCAGAATCACAAGGCAAACCAACAAGCTGAAAGAAATATTTATAACATGTAACAGCAATCAAAGAAAAAAAAGCCTAGAAATTAATAATAACAACTTATTATAATGAAAGACAAAATAACCAACATAAAAAAAAATATATGGTGATGGAGAGGATCAGGTTATTCCCAGAAGAAGAAATATGGAATGGCCAGTGACCATATGATATGATGTTCAATCTCACAATGGTCAAATTAAAACAATAAGAATGCATTCTTACCTATCACATTTTTAAAGATTTAAAAGATTAATGTCATTTCATACAATATTTAGGCTAAAAGGTTACATACACACTAAAAGCTTTTTATTCCCAAGAAAAAATAACAAACCAACTCGAAAATCATCCATTGGCTGGGAGTGACTCGAGATAGGCTGGGCAGG